CCACCCCTGGCAGACTCGCTCTCAGCTCTGTTCAGGAGGGTTTTCCCCCCTGGTTTTCCGTTTTAATCCCGGTGTTCCATCCCTGCTCTCCTCTCGCTGCCCTTTCCCTGATCCCCTGTCGGGGCCGCAGGGCACACAGATGCGGCTGGAGCTGGCCAGGCTGGCACCGCTGCAGGTGCCGCGGGTGGCCCTGCAGCCTCCCCAGGGTGAGGGGCTGCCCACACAGACGCTGTACCGCAAGACCACCCAACTCTTGGAGACCCTCTACCAGCTCAGCGCCAACGCCAAGGTCGTGGACATGAGACAGAGCAAGTCCAGTAGGTCCTACATAAACATTCCCTGGAGGGTGGGGGTGGGGGAGCAATGTCAAAGGGAGCTTGACCACAGACTGTGAGTGACCTCTGTGTTGTCCTTGGAGGGACCACCAGCTCCTTCCCACCCAGAGCAGGGATCACTCCAGGGTGGAATCTAGCCTGGGGGATCTGATGATGGCAGATTTGGGGTACTCAGGCCCTGTGCCCCCCAAAGTGTCCATCCCTTGTTCCCTGCTGTGTCGGGGACACACGGCACCGGCTCAGCGCAGAGACTGAGCTCCTCTGGGGTCAGGGTGGGATCCAAACTGAGAGATCTGAGGGTGGCAGATTTGGGGTGTTCAGGCTGAGGGCACAGCCTTGTGCACCCCAAGAGTCCATCCCTGTCCCCCTGGCCATGAGCATGTTAGGGACATGTGGCACCAGCAGCGGCTGAGCTGCTCTGAGGTCAGCATGGCTCAGCGTCTCCCTGCAGCACTGCTGGGAGCCTCCCACCCCCCGAAACCCCGGGGAGGGTCACTCCCTCCAGCTGTGTCCCTCCCTGGCACTGCCAATCCCTGTCCTGCCCTCCCCAGCCCGGAGCTCCTCGGCACGGCTGCTGGAGCAGACGGCTCGGCTCTGCGCCCTCAAGAACACCATCGACGCCCTGAAGGTGAGCAGGGGCTGGGGGACCCTGGGGTCAGCCTTCCTGGACCCCCAGGCCAGGCCGGGGGGGGACATGTCTCAGTGTAGCTCTGTAGTTGGGGCTATGGCACCTCGGTGTGACCTGTGGCACTAACGGCTGTGCCTGGGGAGGATAAGGTGCTGGTCCTTCTCATTCCCCTTCCCATTCCCTTCTCCTTCCCATTCACCTTCCCCTATCCCTTCCCCTCCCCCTTTCCTTTCCCATTCCACTTGCTCTTCACCTCCCCTTCCCCTTCCAAAACTGGTTTGACCCCTTTGTGTTGCCCCCAGGGATGCAGGATGGGCAAGGGTGTCCGTGGAGTGGATGCGGGGCTCTGGGGAGCAGTGAGGGGCACAGTGAGGGGCTCCATGGGGTAGGTGAGGGACTCCATGGGGCAGTGAGGGGCTCTTTGGTGTGTCAAGGGGCTCCGTGGGGCAGGCAAGGGCTCTGGG